CCCACATATGCCTCCACTTCTTCATCACAGGGGGGTCTAATAATTGCATTTGGATGATTTTGCAATACAAAAAGAAGGATACATGTATGGGGGAATCACCCATTCTTACCGAAGTTAGTATTATCCCCAACTCTACGAAAACATCCAATCTTAAACCAAACCCCTTTTCGTGCGTTTCCAACAACCGTGAAGGGATATTTATGAAGTCGGGAAAAGCTACTTTTGCTACCAGGAGGTAGTAAATACGCTCCTTGAACTTTTTCGACTTSCAMGATTAGTCATAAWTCCAAATTCACCTACAATCCCTACGGCTTTGCATTGCCATTTAAAAAACCTTCAAATTATTCAGATCGATTTAAAACGCCGAGCTATCCGAATTGCGAAGTACTTCGTGCAGTACCAATCAGATTCATGCTTATCAGAGAATGTTAAGTATTTTTTAATTTTGTGGCTTAGATGACAAAATTCCTCGCGCTTCATGGCCCTTATTGAACACCCTTTTATTTTCTATCTWTTGACAAATTGCAACAGTCACGTTCTGTATCTTGCCTTCCGATCAGAGTTCGTTAAGTAAGGAGATTTTWTACAAGAAGCATCATTTCTTTATACATAATTAACAATGACGTATTCATAATTAGCTTWAATATTTGGTCGCAAAGAGTCTATTTCATCGTTCTCTAGACTTAACATTRTCTTCTCTCGTRCTTCTTCTTTCATGCAATAAAAGTGACTGATATTTCTTCGTAATGTCGGGCTTTTTCGATCCCGTTACCTTCTTCAATGTTATTAAAATTGCTTCACGAAAGAAAATTGGCTGTGAATTTTTCCGGTGGGCATTTCATTTCACGAAAAACAACTTCCATCACTTGCAAGAATGAAAGAAGTTTTTACCACCAAAAGCGGTTGTGTGGCAAATCTCAGTCTTGCTTCCAATTTCTAATCTAACGATCGCACAAGATCGCATGGGGATTCCGTTTTTGATGTTGTCACAAAACCGAAACCGATTAGGAAAGAATTTTATATTAGCAAACATACACGGCAGGATGGAGGATATCGCGGTGACCAACGACCTTGCGTGTTCATCGATAGAAATGGGTCACTATCGCACCGCGCTGGAAGTCCTCAATCGCTGCTTAGCGTGTGTCAAGAAACTGAAGAACTGTCGGCATTCGATACAGGGCGATCAGAAGCATAGCTATGCATATAGATACAAAATAGAAGAAAGCATTTCGTTAATTTTGAAGGAAACCCAACGAAAGTTGCTGCCATCCACAGAATCATCCACTACTTCTATCGCAGATTCCGCAAARCGGAAAKCGACTAGAACACATTCCTGCAGCCAATCAAATTACAGCCTACCAAGAAAACGACGCCGGGGCGAGCAAGGGAGCAACTTTGTTCTCGACCACAATTCACACTCCGAGAACAACAACAAAAATACTCGGGACGATAGTGAATCAAGAACACCGTTTATCTATCGCAAACCAACTCGATTGACAGAGCCGCAGTGGGACCGAATCCGTCAGTACCAGGTTTTGATTCGTGCTACCAAGAACACCGAGGGCAAGCCTGAGATTCAGAAATTGGAGCGAGAAATTGAACTCACTATTAGYTCAAACCTACTTTTCAACATAGCCCTGTCGCACCATATGATGGCTGTCGCATCGTCATCRTCTACTCAGRAAGAAGAAGCATGGCTTACTGATAGCGATGACTCCAATTCGGAAGACGAGAGCGACGATGATTCGTCCAATGGATACGATGAACCATGCAGTAGCTGCAGCCAATCGGAACAACACCTTGGTGGTGCCCTTCGCTTGTATGAGSTCGGATTCTGGATCTATTCCAAACGCATCGCTATTGTTGCATCGCAATCTCCGGAATCAGCGTTTTTGCCCTTGTTTTTACCCTCGTCTCCGGYAGAACTAGAGGAGACGAATTTTTCTGAGCAGCAGGAACAGCAGCAACCCAGAAGCGTATTGCGTTCCCACGGAAATGCTTCTGGATGTATTAGCAACAGCACAAGTTTCGAGGCCCAGAACGCCAATCGATACGCCTTGGCTATGATCAACAATTGCGCCCACATCCACGAATGTTTGGGCAATTTCGACCGGGCGAGTGCCTATCGCAACCGCCTTTTGAGTCTCCTTATGGTAATCATCGATAGTGGGCAATCTGTCCGGGACGTGGTCGGCGACGATGGTATCCTCTGTGGATACCTTTCTGTTGCCTTCAAAACGGGTGTATTTCCGAAMGAAAAAATATTGGCGGCCGCTGCCTGAGAAAAACAATGAAAAAGCGTCTTTTATAAAAAAATAGGTCACGACAGAAATTTAGCTGTCTACCAGAACACAGTCCGACTCGGACTAAATTAGTGAAAACTCAAGTTTCATACGCACTTATTCTTGTTTAAGACGACTTTATGGTATTTTTGTGCCATTCGCTTTACGAGCAAAACGTCCATTGCGTACTTTCTTTTCTGCTATGTGACACCCCTTTCCTGCTCAGCTGATACATACCGCACGATGACGATGTAGATAAAGTGGACGAAAATGCTTGGTTGACTCATGGTGGCTCTGAAACTGCTATTGCTACTCATGTTCGGCACACAAATTTATTATGTAYCGAGAACCGTGGACAGCATGGTGTGTACTGACCCGAGCTCGCGTTCGCAGGGAGYCGGAATAGTTGCGCTGGATCATACTTTCTCGCGGACGGTCCGATGGYCACGGTTTTGGTACCGTCGCTCGACGGTACGGGGGAGTGTGGATTGATTCGTGCTTTCTTACGTGGCAGACAAAAAGGTGGTTTGGAGGAGTGAAAGTACCTCGTCCAGGGAAGATTCTCCCAATTTGTAGAGCTCGGCCCACAGAGCGATCCTGAGCAGCAAGGGTAGCATASTGTTGCTTGTTTCTTTGCTGGCGAAAGCTATTGAACCCCCAACCGGCTCGTTGTTGTCGTCGTTGCCCCAGAAATATTTCTCCCCCAGGCTCAGCGCCAGCAGCAGAACCGCRCAATCGGGAGCCAGTCCGGCGTGTGTCAGGAGATTTGGCCCCGTCATCCACACCGGTAGYAAGGCGTCCGCCAGCCCCCCCACAAACAAGCCGAGGCCACCAAAGACGTAGCCGATCTGGAGGAGAACCGCGGCGGTGTCGTTGTCATCGTTTCGAAAAGACGCGCTGGTCGCTGCATCGGATCCGTATTCCTCGTAAAAGGCCTCGGTGGCTTCCGGGGCCGCGAATGGCTGGTTCCACAGCAGACCGTAGTATAGGCCGAGAGAAAGCGGCCAGAAATACCTCAGGGTTTGCACCCATTCGTAGTTGGCCAGGAGATCCCCCAGAATGCCCGACAGGGAACCCACGGCGAGTCCGACCACCACCATCTCGGAGTATCGTTCGGACCGCCACCATTCGGGCATCGTGGTTGGTGCTGTGGCTGGTGCTACCGGAAGGGAGTCGGATTGCAACGACAAGGCTCCGATGTTGTTTTTCGCAGTTTCGGAATCGTTGCCGTCCAACTGCAAAAGTTCAGCCAGAATGGGGGTTTCTGTAGAGGAAAAGGACGAGAAGCTTTCTACACCTGTTTTGCTATTTTTGCTATTCGGCATAGACACGACCCCATCTCCACTCTCACTTTCCATCTGAGACGTTGCATCGTTGGAGCTAGCAGTACTCGCAGCAGCATCGGCAGTAGAATTCGAAGCAGAGTTTTCGTTTGCCTCTTCCGAGATACCAACCCTCGAAGATAACGACGACGACGATGATGATGACGACGAATCTTCCTCGTCGCTGCGGCAAGAATCCGTTCCCAAATTGCTTGATCGTTTGCTATGAATCGAAAGATCCCAACCGGAACGAAGGCGACGCACACCACTGGTCACGAAAGCACAACGACAATGATCCGTTTGCAACAGCGACATTGCCGCTGGAGCTGTTCTCGGGAGATGCCCGGTGCCACTCCCTTGRCCAAACAAGTAGCATGATGCTCCAAGCGGYAGCTGYAGCTGYACCAACAACGGAAACACCAATGCGGGTGTGGCAAGGAACCCGMGAAAGCGGTAGCTGTTGCGACGATTCGCAGCTATGGCAGCATCTGGAGTTCTATCTGCAGGAACGTGGCGGGAAGCCTTCGCCAGAAAACTCTCATCATTGCGTGTTCCATACATG